GCGCCCCGCAAGAGCCGCCGCTGCCCAGAGTAGGCGCAGCAGGCCAAGGCGCCGGGGGGGCACCTGCTGTGCCAACACCCAACGCTGCGGTACCTGTGGGTGTGCTGCTGCACGTCCTCAAATTCCAAGTGTAAAATACGGTGTGGAGAATCAGTACTGTGCACGCATGCTGGACGTGACCTCTTGACTGCAAAGAGCAGCAGTCCCTAATACCCGAGGTTCGTGCTGCGTTTTTCACAGCACACCCGCACTCGGCGTATAGACCAGGGCAGAACCCTGCAGCTGGGAGAGCTACTCATCGCACTGAGACCCAAACCCAGACTTCACAGATCCACAGAGGGGAAGGGGCTGGGAGGGAGCTCCAGAGCTCCTCTAGTCCAACCCCCTGCCAGAGCAGGATCCCCTAGAGCAGATCCCACAGGAACCAGTCCAGGGGCTTTGGAAAGTCTCCAGGGAAGGAGACTCCCCCCTCTCTGGGCAGCCTGTTCAGGGCTCTGTCACCCTCCCAGGGAAGAAGGGTTTCCTCACGGTCAGGCTGAACCTTCTGTTTCCAGTTGATGGCCACGGCCCCTCGTCCTGCCCCTGGACACCCCTGAGAAGAGCCCTGCCCCCCCCCCCTGACACCCCCTTTAGGCATTGATCAGGATTGATAAGATCCCCCTCAGCCTCCTCCTCTCCAGCTGAACAGCCCCAGCTCCCCCAGCCTTTCCCCATGGGGAAGGAGCTCCAGGCCCTTCACCATCATTGTGGCCCTAAGTGACTGATGCTTACACATTGGACAATATTCTTGAGGAAAAGTCTCTAAACCAGGAAAATAATCTCCTAAAACCCCAAGAAATATTACAAAAGGTGAAAGCTTTCTTACTGGTACCTTACTCTTTGCCAGGAAAAGTCAGTCCTCCACAGCAAGCCACAGCCTAACTTTTCCAGTTCCTTATCCTGCCTTTCCACCATGTGTCAGCAACACCTCCCTTTGGTTCCAGCCACCACGTAACACGGACAAGGCTCATCCCAGCAACAAGCTGGATTGAGCCGGCTGTCTGTAGTGTCATTTCCTCTCCTTGTACTTAGAGGCTGGCTGTGTTTGTGCTCGAAGACGGTGGGCACACGCAGGTCACATACCACCCTGCAGCAGAAAAAGCAGCCGGTACTTCTGCCATGGAAGCACAAAGCTCAGCTCTGTACATCCCGTTAACCCTGTCTCCCTGGACGAGGGCCTATCAAAAGCCTCCAGGCACACGCAGCTCTAAAAATGGAAGCTTTCCATAAGGAAAGTCCTTCCTGCGTGGTGAGGCACACAAGTTCCCAGACAGGATGCGGCCCGGAGAACACGCATGCATCCTTACTTCCATTGTTACGGCAGCAGCCCCTCCTAGCTGGATTACTCTTTGGAGTGAAGCTGTGTTTGGGCTTCAAGCAAGCACGCTCTGCTGGTAACTCTACCCAGCACGCAGGGACAGCTGGGCACGACAGCGAGTACAGCTCGACCTGCGTGCAGTCGCGCGTTAAAGCACATGGCCAATGGCTAAGCCCATCCCGCAGACTGCCTGGCTGACCAGGATCACAGCTGGGGCGGCCAGCCCAGCCCTAGAACAGGAATCAGCGTTTTCTGTGCACCTGATGGCTGGATTACTCCACCGTCTGGGGAACAAGGCTGAGGACACCCCATCTCCCATCTCATCTGACACTACACTTCATGAGTGGGTAAGAGCAATTCGGGGGTTCTGAGATTCAGAAACAAGCGACTCCTCCTCTTCCCTCTGCTCCACCCCACACAAAGAGGGAGAGGAAACCTCCACTGGACAATGTCAGTGTTTATTTACACGTGAGAAGGTTTACACAAGTCAAAAAAGTTGTTTCAACAGGAACCCAGCCATCAGCGCTTTTGCCCGTCTTCAAAGACGGGATGACGTTGGGGTTCGGCGATGCAGCTTCACAACAGCACCATGATCACTTGGGAAAAAAGTGCCAGGAATCAACTAAAACAAACAAACCACATCAAGAACAATATTAGTTCTACACAACCAGCCAGCCAAATGCTTGAGAAAGGGACACTATGCCCCTTCAGCTACCTGCCCTCCCACAACAGTGCTGCCCCAGCCTAGGTGAAGTGCGGCCTCTCAGCGCTACAGGTTCCCTGTCACAGCTGGGCTGAGACTATCCCTCAGCAAGTTACAGCACCGACCAACCGTCCCCGGAAAACGGCAGCGGTCAGGCAGGCCACGCTCAGCATCTGTCAGACCCGAGATAGACTTCAGTAAACAAACGCTGCTTACTGGTGTGCCATATAAGGGCAAAGGGAACGCAACTCGCTTTCCCATGACACAGCCTGCACAGATGTTGCTCTGCAAACAATCTGGAGTTTCACCCATGACTGAGCTTCTCCTGGCATTTCTGCACTCCCTCCATCTCAAAAAGCACGTACGGCTCCTCTGTAGTTCCTGCCAGCAGAAAGAGCTCTTTTTTCAAAAAAGCAGTTACCAAAAATGAAGTGTAGGCTGCGTTCTCGTTTCTGGATGAAAGACACATGTTCTGTTAACACGAAGAACAACCCCAATGGTGAGAGGGAGAACTTTGCCTTTAGACCTCTCACTAGAAAGCTAAGTATGGTTACGTCACTGTTTGGAAAAGGGGCTGTTCCTTTGCCAGGCAGCAACCGTGAGGGATGACAAAGACCACGGCACAGCAACCAGTCTCTGTTACAAAGAAGTGTCACGAGTCTGCCTGCCGTGACCAGCGACACCAAAATTCAGTCCTAGCTGTTTCTGCGGACTCCGCTTTCACTCAGACCCCAAAGTGACCTTCTCCCACAAACCATCCACGACTTTCTGCCCAGGTTCTGGTAACAGGGGCAGGCACTGCGCTCCGGGGGTAACCACTATGCTCATGTGCACAACCCCACTTTTTCTTAAACACACAACAGGTTTTATGTCAGTTTTTAAAGCAAACTACTCCAGAAATTGCATGGCATTCTGGGAAAACCTACCTTCTAGGGAAACGGCATCTCCAGTCACAGGCACTGGTGCCTGAAAGAAGAAAGAGACCAGCAGCATATCAGTGTTTAGCTAAGTTTCACAGGTAGCACCCAAACCCAAGCTACTTCACTGCTGAAGGCAAGAGGTACTAATGCAAACAGAACTTTGTTGCCCCCTCAGGGCCGTGCTCTACCGTAGCAACGTCCCCTTCATTGCTTCTCCTCGTAGCTACTGTACAAGTGCCTGTGTTGCTCCTAAGTGACAAAACGAACACACTACTAACGAGTAATAGATTAACATCTGACCTAAGAGGGATTTTCCTGCTGCACTGGCGCTGAGAATACCAGGATTTGCTACTAAAGACTAAAAATGCCTTTCCAACTACCACCCATTTCAGTGTAGAGGTACGCATGTCAACATACACACACGGTACATCACCCCTACAGACATGTTATTTGAAAACGCATGTCTAATTAAACTGCCGTACAACCACAGGCTGACAGAGGCACAGTCAGCTCTGTGCCAAGCGAGCCATCGTTCTGGACAGCAGGTCTGCAGGCGCAGACCCGTGTCACGGCTGGAGACGCCACTGTTGGGCCGCAGCCTTACACAGCGTGTCGTGTCCTCAAAACTAAGGCCAGTGTCAACACCAGCTGGAAGCAACCCGCCTCACAATGAGGATGCTAATTACTTGCACAGCAACAATCCTCTGCTGCCCTTCCATCGGCTCTTCAGGCACAGACTGGTTTCCCAACTGACACAACCATCTCAGCACAAGGAGTCCTGCTACGCTCACTGCGGCGCAAACCCGCGTGGGTGCTGGCATCGCCGTGACAGACGCCACCTACGCTTACCCAAGCGGGTAACCCCAGGAAGAATCAGCTGGGTGAACCCTGCAAAAGAAACAACCTTGAGGGCAGGGTTTACAGCTGGGTGAAGCCACAGGAGAATCCCACAACACAGAGACCGCCCACGTCTTCACACCAACCCGTGGAACGTCCTGCTGCTAGTTTTAGTGGCACACGAGGACGCGAAGGCAAGCTTTGCAGTGCCCTGCAGGCAGGCAAACCAGCCCAGGCGCTGCACAAGCCGGGCTTGGCATGGTGGAGCACTCACACCGAGCTGCACCACTGCGATATTCCCTCCTGAGCCTGCCTGCCTCGGCATGGGGCTCGATCTGCCGAAGAGCGGGTGAAAGCCTGTGAGGAGGGAAGGGAAGTCCCCACTTTACCCAGGTTAACTACCTGCACAGAGGGGTTACGTGACTGCTCTCAAAGGCTGTGCCAGTATGACAAACATAATCCAGGTCCCAGATTGGCAGAATCACGGAATGGGTTGGAAGAGATCTCAAAGTCCCCCCAGTGCCAACCCCTGCCATGGGCACGGA